AACTGACATTGAAAAAAATTAATTGATAGGTTAAGAAATCTATAAACTATTTTTAATTGTTATTTTTATTTGATTTCCTTTTAAATATACACGTGTAGTATATAGCCGGGCAAGCGAAAGTCCCGGCCCGCTTCGCGAACACGGCCTTTGACTTCCCCGATATATAGAACATCATATACTGAGTGTACCTGATCAGTTCTGATATTATTCTCGTTATTTTGGACAAAATGTAAATCTCAGGATATTGTGTAAAATACAGTCAGTAAGTCTTTACGTAAAATAAACTGTTCACTAGAAAATGTAATGACATCTGAATGCAAGAAGTGTTGTTAAACAGAACATAAATATCTGAACAATTTAACTAGAAAGTTAATGGACTATCCTGTACATTTTATTTTAGAACTATCCTTTACATTTTATACAGTGACAAGTACTCCAGGTATAGTAGACCGTAGCATAGTACCTTACCCGATAATATTAAATGCACTCCTGAGCTAAATTTGGAACGAACCGCTGACTTTGTTTCTTGTCTATATATCCATTTATAACACAAAATTTCGATACTATGTTCATATTTGTCATAACTTCATCACATAATACATTATGTCAACTGGGAAGAACATTGATACATTTGCCAATAATATTTCTGATGTATGGTGACTGATTTGTGTCATTCGTGTTTTCGCCCCTCGACCCCGCCAAGCGAAAATTCGAGAATTAATACGTTAAAATGGCGGGTCGAAAAGCAAAAACACACTTATTTTTTAAATCTCGAATATTTATTTACCACTTATAAGCGACTTTTCGCTCTGCGCCACCGCCATTTTAACTTGTTAATTCTCGACTTTTCGATTGGCGGGGTCGCTAGGCGGAAACAAGAATGGCACAAATCAGCCACCATACATCAGAAATATTATTGGCATATGTATCATTGATTGTGCCTTTCAGTTCTTCCCAGTTGACAGCTGCAACTTTTTCTCTTTTTTGACTTTTTACTTATCGACTTTTCGCTTGGCGGGGTCGCTGGACGAAATCACGCTATTTAGCGAGGGCGCACGGCGAAGTTTTATTGATTTACCTTCGCCCCGCGCTCCCGCTAATGACAGTGTTTTCGTTCCGCGACCCGCCGTTTTATTTCTTAAATCTCGCGCCGCACCCCGAGGGGTGAAGTTTTATTTATTAAACTTCGCCCCGTGCCCTTGCTAATAAGCGCCGCCGCCATTTTAACTCGCTGATTATCGACTTTTCGCTTGGCGGGGTCGCGGGACGAAAACACGCTTATAAGCGAGGGCGCAAAATTTAATTTATTAAACTTCGCCCCTTGCCCCCGCTAATAAGCGTGTTTTCGTCCTACGACACCGCCGTTTTATTTCTTAAATCTCGCTCCGCGCCCCGACGGGGCGAAATTTTATTTATAAAACTTCGCCACGCGCCCTCGCTAATTAGTGTGTTTGCACTCCACGCCCCCGCCATTTTAACTTGTTTATTTTCAAGTTTTCGCTTGGCGGGGTCGCGGGGCGAAAACACGAATTGCACAAATCAGCCACAATATAAAGCTGATATTCTTAACAATTATTTCCGTGATCAAACCATTTTAGACGAAAACCCTACACAGATTATTGAAGAAGAAGAGCTTTTACCTCATAAATTGAATTCAAATGTTACGTCAGCGATCGAAGTAAAGTCAATACTAAAAAGGCTTACTTTAGATAAAGCATTGAGTCCTGGTGAAATTAACAAAAGGATTCTTATAGAACTTTCCAAAGAAGTGTCTATTCCTTTTTCAGACCTATTCAATCAGTCTCTTTGTACATTTAGATATCCTCAAGCGTGGAAAGCCAGTTTTCAAATCCGGGGATCGATTTTAACTTGGGAATAACCGTCCTGTATCTCTTCTAGTTCAACAGGGAAGGTCTTTGAAATATTTGTTTTAAATAGATTTATAACCATATTTTATCAGATATTCTTTTAACACTTTTTCAGTAAGGTTTAATCCCCGGCGATTCAACCGTAAATCAGCTTACTTACTTGTATAATTTCTTTACTTAGGCAATTGACTAGAGGCAAATGAAAAGAGGCCCAAGCAGTATTTTGCGACATAAGCAATAGGGTTGATAGGGTTTGGCATAAAGGCCTCTTTTACAAATTGAAAATGTTCGATATTAATGGTTCTCCTCTTACATGTATCTGTCGAACAGAAAACAAAGGCTTTTTGTTCCAGGTGCAACATCAAGATGGAGTTTTATCACAGCAGGTGTATCTCAAGGGTCCATCTTGGGTCCACTTCTTTTTCTCATTTTTGTGTCGCCTCTACGGAGTAGTGGCGACATATAGGAATCACTTCTCCGTCGTCTGTCTGAGCAACCAAATAGGGTTAGGGGGCCATCTAACAGTAAACAGAACAAAAGAGAACAATATAGTTCATTCCGTAACAAAAGAATAAGGGGCCATGACCCTCTATTAAACAAAAAAATAACAAAAGAAATGGCCCTTTAGTCCATTTAAGTGGCACATCTGTCCGTCTGTCCGTCCGTCCGTCTGTCTGTCTGTCTGTCCGTCTGTCCGTCCGTCCGTCCGTCCGTCACAAAACTTGTCCGGACTACTCCTCATAAACTAATGGTGCAATTTCATCCAAACTTTACAGGAATGATCAGTACTAAGTCTAGTTGTGCATATTGTCAGCATTTTCCGGTTCAATGATTTTTGTCAGAGTGATGGCCCTTTATAATTTTTAATTTTAAAGTTTGTCCGGACTACTTCTCTTATACCACTTATGCAATTTCAATGAAACTTTACAGGATTGATCTGTAGCTCAAGTCCTTGCGCAAATTGCAAGGGTTTTCCGGTTGAATGATTTTTGGCCGAGTTATGGCCCTTTGATAAAAAGGTGTTTTTTTCTGTGTGTTGCCAGATACACAAAAGCTTGTCCGGACTACTCCTCATAAACTAATGGTGCAATTTCATCCAAACTTTACAGGAATGATCAGTACCAAGTCTACTTGTGCATATTGTCAGCATTTTCCGGTTCAATGATTTTTGTCAGAGTGATGGCCCTTTATAAATTTTTAATTTTAAAGTTTGTCCGGACTACTTCTCTTATACCACTAATGCAATTTCAATGAAACTTTACAGGATTGATCTGTAGCTCAAGTCCTTGCGCATATTGCACGGGTTTTCCGGTTGAATGATTTTTGGCCGAGTTATGGACCTTTGATAAAAAGGTGTTTTCTTCTGTGTGTTGCCAGATATGCAAAAGCTTGTCCGGACTACTCCTCATAAACTACTGGTGCAATTTTATCCAAACTTTACAGGAATGATCAGTACCAAGTCTAGTTGTGCACTGTCCGTCTGTCTGTCCGTCTGTCACAAAATTTGTCCCAACATGAAATTGGCCACCATGAGGCTACACATGTGATTACTGATCGCTCTTGTTATCAATGATATTGTTGCCGACATTAAAGCTAATATACGCCTGTTCGCTGATGATACCAATCTTTATATTACATTAAGATCCAGTAAGTGCAGCCGAATCTTTGAACGCTGACTTATAAACAATATCAAGATGGGCCTTTAAGTGGCTAGTGAAATTCAACTCTAAGAAAACAGAATCTCTAATCATTTCTCGTAAACCAAACCCCCTACACCATCCTCGCATATTAATGAACAATGTTGAAATTCAGGTGGTATTATTTAAGTATTATTTTAGGTTATTTAGGTATTATTTTTGCAAATAATTTGAAATAGAATACTCATATTGATTATGTACTTGGAAAGGCTTATCAGCGAAAAAATATAATGCGGAAGCTAAAATTCACTCTTGACCGACAATCGCTACAAACTATATACATTTCATTTATTCGGCCATTATTAGGATATGGTGATATAATTTTTGACAATTGTACACTCGAGCAAAAAACTGCACTTGAAAATTTCCAGTATGAGTCTGCCCGTATTGTTACAGGTGCAATTAAACTAGTCTCTTTGCAAAATGTGTTTGTTTGTTTCATTTTACGCATTTTTCCAACAGTATTTTAGTCATATAGGCGGGTAGTTTCCTAACCATCGTTCCTGGAGAGTTACACAAGTACTAGACTACCTTCCTCCGCGCTAAACTACCAAAGCATCTCCCGGGGATCGAACCCACGCCGGAGAGGTAACTGGATTAGAAGTCATCGACTCTAACCCCTCGACCACGGAGGCGCAGAGCGAAAACACGCTAATTAGCGGGGGGCGCCCCCGCCCTTTTATTCCTTAAATCTCGCCCCGCGCCCCCGTTTAATTTATTAAACTTCGCCCCGCGCCCTTGCTAATAAGCGTGTTTTCGCTGCTCGTATCCGCCATTTCAACTTGGTAATTCTCGACTTTTCGTTTGGCGGGGTCGCAGGGCGAAAATACAAATGCCACAAATTAGCCACCATACGTTCCCACATGTTAAACTTTTTGAAATTTTATCACGTTTCGTTAAAAAAAGGTTGAACGGACGTTGCGTTATTTTATAAATGTCATTTTTTTAAGAAGACTAAACGTCCAAAGCTAAAAAAATGTTTCTTTCTATTGTTTCGTGAAAATATATTCCATATTTCACTCATACGGAAACATATCCTCTTCATATTTTAAAAAGTACTTTTGAAATCGAATGCAAAGTCTCAGTTCAAAATCGTAAACATCTTAATAAAGAAACTGACCAAAACAAAAACAAAGAAGATGTTTCGTCGCTGTTTTTTTTTGTTGTTTTTTTTTTTTTTTTTTTGTTAAAAAATCCCTCAATTCATTGTTCTTAAGTTCCTCCTGCTGGATTAATTGCTTTAAATTATTGTAAATTACATAAATCACGAGGCGAGACATCGTGTTCTTTTTTCGGTTTTGTATCTTCAAATTAGGGGAGATAAGAAAGGGAGAGTCCAATCCGTTTGTTAATATTAACTAGATTATTCCCCTTCAGACAGATTGAAATGATCAGGACGTTGACAAGCAAATATCTTTGCAAATGCTCAACTCTATTTATAATGTTGTGTCATTTTTCAAGTGATTCAAGTTTCCTTAGTATAGTGTTTATTATTATTTTATGTTTTTAAATAAATAAAAAAATGTGATTAAAACATTTTCTATGCGATTAACGATTTTAAAGCAGTTTGAGGTAAGTCGTTTAAATATCATTTATGCCTTATCACACTTAGTTCCTAACAGCCGTGTTTTATTCTTTAACATAAAATACATTTTCGGGACAAATAACTTAAAAGTGAGACTTGTTTTCGCTCAACATATTTCTGTCAGCATCTTCTAACAACATACCAAGTTTAAAGAAATTCTATTGAACAGTTTTAATTCTGCCTATGTAGCTATATAAACACTCCCGAAAACTCCCTTAATTTATCATAATTATAATAAAATGCAAAAATAACAGTGTTAACATGTAAAAACTATATGTTCCAAATATTTTGTAGAGTTAACTAAAAATTAAATTTATAAAGGAGTTAAGACTTAAAAATGGCGTCGATCGAGATAAGTTTGCACAATTCAATACTATCAGTAGAAAAACTTTCTGTTATACTTTTCACCAAAAGGAATAATAAAAACATCTATTGTTATGCTTAATTCAGTCTTGCGGGGATTTGAATATGCTCAGACAGTTTCAAAAGGTGTCTGTCTAGACATGAATTGATAAATATTGTATTTCACTTATAGTCTACATGATTTGCATTAAACAACGGTTATAACAACATAATTATTTGTGATAACCTGTCATTTACTAAGTTTATATGTGCTACAAGTCGTGTTTATGACCATCTATATGTGCTTCTTTATTTATCTCTATTATAACGCTGTTCTTCAGTCGTTTTAAAGACTTCAATGTTGCTTAAAATGGTTTTTTAATGATAGTAATACAATGTACATAAAATGATGATATTTTGTTGACCGTTTTTGTGCACACATATTGATTAAGAAAAGAACAGAACAAAATAGAATTTATCAAAGAAACGTTAATCTTGCACAACCATGACACTAGATTAAAATGCAGGAAAGGTGAGTTTTTATTACTTGATTTTATTCGATTAATTTGAGTATATCTGTTTAAGATATGGACTATTATACACATGTATGGAATGTAGGAAGGAGTTAATACATGCATAAAATGACATTTTATTTTGAATGCACAAGTGTAATAAATAAGGAGTATTCTATCTTACAAATACTACACTTGATATAATTTATCAGAAGTTCGAAACATTATTCATGAAAATAATTGAGGAAATTCACTAGATATCAATTAATGTTTTCTAATGAATTTTAGTCATTCTTGACTATGTATTGGTAAACTCGCTTTTGTTATTATGCCCCTACTTCAAAGAAGAGGGGGTATATTGCTTTGCATTTGTCTGTCTGTCGATCCGTTGGTCCGTCGGTCCGTAGACCAAATGGTTTCCGAGTGATAACTAAAGTTATAAGCGTACTACGCTTTATAATGATTTACACACTTGATTGACTGAAAAAATATACTGAATAAATATACTGAAACGTGCCATAAATTAGCACACGGAACACACTTGCAGTAACAAAAGATATCATAAAAACTCTTCAGAGTTATCATAATAACTATGTGACATTAGAAAAATTGGGTATAAATTTATTAACGACTTTACGTTTACAATTTTCCATTATAATAATGTTATTTAGTATTGCAACGAAGAAGATCACAAATGAAAAGTTCAATATCTACGAGAAAAGATGTAATTTGGAAATTTTACTCAAAATTACCAGACGTTTAACGAGAGACAATGAAAAATGCACTATAAATATTTGTGTGACACATAATAAAATATGTAAGGCAAGCTCAATCATCAAAGTTTAATTAAGCACCTCAAACTGCCACTTAAAAGTTTAAAATTACCAATTTTACGTGAGTTTCTCTAGTATACAATAAAGTTTTCCAACGAAATCCTTAACGTTTTCCAGGAACTCTGTGACAGTAAAAATAAGAACTTTTGACAAGTAAACATAATAACCCAATCCGTTGTGTAACAGTTCTTCCCGCAAGTGATTATCTGAGGTGGATGAAACTTGCTAAAACTATAACAACAATTGTCTAGTTAATTTTTATCAGCTAGGCCGAAGTGCAACTGACGGACGGTATGTATTTATCAATTGTTTAACATATCCCAACTGTGTTCGAGTAAATCATTGTTATGGATTCATAGTCAACATCCAAAGGAGCCTACTAACACATTCCTGGCATTGTGCAAGCTTTACCGTAGTGGATTTTGATTGAAAATGGCCACATTTTCCGATGAGATGCGGCATTATTATTTTTTTAAGTCACAAAAACTTGCGTTTTCTCATGATTATAAATCATTTTAAGATAAGACTCGTAAACGCCAATATTGTGTCATGAAATATTCCGAACCATACCTTCAAAAATGCTTTTCTTTTAAAGATATAAGGTATTTAAATTACAATGTCTTCACAATTTGAGTAACGTCATCAACCGTTTGCCTGTATTTAATGATAACATCGACATTAACTCATTATCAATAATGAATAATGCTGAAGACTGTTCAACGAAATGTTTTTAGAGCTTTTGTGCTATAGTAACTAGGAAAGATGAACAACGTTTTTAGGGCGACATTGGTTCTTTGAAATACCGGTGTAAAGCACGGAGGAATTGGATCTAGTTTTTATGCTCCACGAAAAATTTCGGGGGAGCATATAGTCGTCGGGTTGTCCGTCCGTCCGTCCGTCAGTCCGTCCGTACGTACGTCCCAAATTCGTGTCCGGCCCATAACTTTGTTATTTGAAGTCGGATTTTAAAACTATTTCACGGAAATGATCACCATATTGAGACGACGTGTCGCGCGCAACATTTGGCTCGCTACCTTGAAGGTCAAGGTCACAGCATGACCTTGCAGCAAAATCGTGTCCGGTCCATAACTTCATTATTTGAAGTCGGATTTTAAAATATTTCACAGAAATGATCACCATATTAAGACGACGTGTCGCGAGCAACATTTTGGTCGCGACCTTGAAGGTCAAGGTCACAGCATGACCTTGCAGCAAAATCGTGTCCGGCCCATAACTTGGTTATTTGAAGTCGGATTTTAAAAATATTTCACAGAAATGATCACCATATTGAGATGACGTGTCATGCACAACATTTGGGTCGCTACCTTGAAGGTCAAGGTCACAGCATGACCTTGCAGCAAATTCGTGTCCGGCCCATAACTTTGTTATTTGAAGTCGGATTTTACAACTATTTCACAGAAATGATCACCATAATTAGACAATCTGTCACGCGCAACATTTGGGTCGCCACCTTGAAGGTCAAGGTCACGGCATGCCATTGCAGCAAAATCGTGTCTGGCCCATAACTTCGTTTTTTGAAGTCGGATTTAACAACTATTTCACAGAGATGATCACCATATTTAATCCACGTGTCGCATGCAACATTTGGGTTGCTACCTTGAAGGTCAAGGTCACAGCATGACCTTGCATCAAAATCATGTCCGGCCCATAACTTCGTTTTTTTGAAGTTGGATTTTACAACTATTTCACAAAAATGATCACCATATTGAGACAATGTGTCGTGCACAACATTTGGGTTATTTTTACACTTTGAACTTTGTCTGTGACATAACGCTACAAGAGGTATACCTTCCTGTGTCAAAAAACCTATTCGGGGAGCATCACCCGGTTCAACCGGCTCTTGTTTTTTTAAGTGATTAAGCAACGGAAGCTTACTTACTGCCTTCAACCTTTTTAAACCTTCACAGCGAACAGCGTGTCACAATAGTACCATAGTAGTACTTAACCTTCCGTAACGCATCCATTGGATAAAATGTCACATCAATTCATTGATAATCATATTTCAGAAGATTTTCATTTCATTTATGAAATTATTTTTATCAGTACAATTGTAAATATGTTTTACAAGTAAAATGATTAGTAAAATTCTGAATGGACGTTTGGCTTCTTTTAACCAACAAATGATAATCAAGGAACTGCAGTTGGAACATACTTTAAGGATCAAAATTACCATTTTTAACTATTTCGGTGCAGATAATTCAATGAGTGAAGGATGTTGCCGGTTGATTAATGTAAAGTGCACAATTCAGTAAATGAACAGTAGTTGATACAATTATTCTATGACATATATGTTCAAATATAATGTTTAGGTTGCATGTACATGTAGGTCCATCACAAACTGTGCCATTTGACAAGAGCAACAAGTGAAATAAGAGCTGCCAGAGGAAACTGCAAGCTCGACTTTTTGAACACATGATATAATAAAGGGAGACAAAACATGAAAAATTTAATAAATTTTGATATAAATCTATTTCATGAAAACACCCAAATGGTCAATATTTGTGCATCACATTATATGAATGTGACCATGTCATTAAATCTGATGATGGCTTTTTACACTGCACTTCTCTTGCTAATCTCTTTTTTTGTGTGAAGTTTCAATCAAATTCCTTCAATATTTTAATCCTCTCTCTGAACAAGTATCATGAAATAATATAAACAGAGATAATTTAAAAATAAGAAATGTAGAATTTTGGTTATTTGACACAGCACTTCTGCTCACTAGTCTCTACAACTGTGTTTAGTTTGAGTGAGATATTATTGAAAAGTTATACTCCAGACAACCAATATTTGAAATTTTGATGTATTATAAGAGCAGATAATTGTAAAATTAAGCTAGGACAAATTGTGGTTCTTTGAAACTACACTTCCTTCCACTTGAATGTTTTGGCTGTGTAAAATTTTAATCAAATTCTATCAACTCTTTCCAAGTACTTCTCTGGACAAGCATTATAAAGTACATGTATTATAAAGTGTGATAATTTTAAAACTAAGGAATGCAGCTATGGTTCTTTGACAAATTCGAGTCTGTACGACTAGGTGTAGTTTCAGTGATAGATTGAAAGGAAAACTCCAAATAAGCATTTTACATTAAGGGAGATAATTAAAACATAAGGCAAGGTAGATTTATGTTTCTTGACATTGCACTTTCTCTCAAAAGTCTCTATCACTTTGTCAAGTTTACATAAAATACCTTCAAGACGAATCTAGTTATATTCATATTCCGGACAAGAGTGTGAAGGACGGACGTCTTCCTAAGTTCACAATGTGTTTTTTTCTTTAATCAGACACCATAAGAAACATATTTTCCTCCCATGAGCAACCATTTTCACCACAATGAACATGGATATTTATCCATAATATTACTTGATTCCATACTGACAGATGGTTAAGGCAGCAACTGTATTATCTCCCTTTTGAAGCATAAATTATAATAACATTCTAAATCTCCATATGGTTCTATATCAGATACCAGTATGATGAACCTTGCTTTTGTACCTTTTGGGTAATACCAGAATTCAGATTTCATTGACATACAGAAAGGGGTCAGTCGTTAGCCCCCTCTTGGTGAAAACAGAAGGGGACTAATAACAACAATTTACTCTAGTTTCAATCCTTAGGTTTATTACTTTTCATTAAACCAGGCAAGCAAAGATACATGTAATAACTTATAAATCGCTAAACATTACACAATATTTTAATAAATTGGAATGTGCAGTCATATGTTACAAGTCCAAGGAGCTTCAATTCATTGTACCTTTTGGGTAAATCAGTCAAAATATCACCATTGATATAATTTATCACTGCTATGTAAGTGTAATGATTTTGTTTGAAGCCAAAAAAGCTAGATTTAACATTTTCCTTCAACACAATATTCTTAACTGCCCCTATACTATTGACAGGGGATTCAACTGAAGTGCTAACTTAGATTACCCCTCTAAAATAGTCAAACTAGTCACAAGTGTTCATGAATTAACAAGTTATTAGCCTATACAGTTTATGATCCACTTTTACGTTACCACATCTTGAAACTGGAGATTCCCAACAGACCGGTGTTTAATCTTTCATTTGCTTGTCAGTGACGCATGACCACCTTAAAAAATGCGTTAACAATTATATGAAGTTCAATAATTTGTAAACAATTCTTATCATATTTGTCTCTTCTGACATTTATAATGCAGAGCACTAAATTTGTGTGTCTGTCATACAAACTGACTTTCAAAAATACTAATAATAATAATACAATAAATATATTTGAAAGACAATTTTTTTTAATAAATACCCATGATAGTAATATTAAATTACTTTCTTGTGATACTTTTTCTTTCACATACTTTCAGACAGTATACAATTTAATTGTTTACACAGCATACAATTTAAAGGTATAATTATTTATTGGCTACAATTTTAAATAATGAATTGTAAATAATGGTTAGTTTAATAACCAATATGAATGTTTAAAAAGTATCCCTTCAAACGTTAAAAAAGCCTGTCAATTAAGCAGATCTTAGCTATTAAGGCACACTAAGCAGAAAAATGGTCAATCAAAGGATAGGGAAATTTTGTATACATAATTATTTAAATCATTTGGTGAAGAAAACAGTTCACATCACATCTGTGCTTTTGCTATTGGATGTTTTTCCATTTGTTTCAATCTTGAATAAGCAAAATGTAAACACAATGTTTCATACGATGAAAACTGTATTGAAATTTGATACATTATTGAAGGGTCTTTGTTCAAGGCAACACAACTATATTGTAAATTTTTGCAGTTCCTTGTAATGCCCTGTAGAATTTTGTACCCACCTTTAAAAGACCATACTTTACATTTCTTAGATAAGTGGATTATTTTTTCAGCAAAGAAAAAAGTCCTATCGTAGAGTATCTTAAGCAATTGACAAAAATATTTTGAAGTATGTTCTTTAAACTAAACACTATAATAAACTGTAGCATGCACTGACCACCTCTTTCATTTTAGGCCTTGTTACTTATATATGATCCAAGCTCTTGGATTATTTCATATGTAGATTTTTTTAAATGCAAAACTAAAAACATTTTATAAGTTCAAGGCCTTTTCCTAGACATTTTGCGAAAAAAAAACCAAGCACAGTTGGGGAAAAATCTTGCATCTTGATTGGGAAAAATATTCCGGTACCATGTTACACACTTTGTTTAATCCAAACAAATTGATATCATTCAAAGCCATAAAAAATACCATAAAGACCAATGACAATTGAAATGTTTTTTGAAACATCATCTCTGGTACCATATTGGATTGGAATTTGAATGAAGCAATATTGTCAGCTTGATAATGAGAATTTCGACTCGATTATGAATTTTTTCTACAGCTTAGAAAAAATAAGCATATTTTGCCACTGGAATGGTCTGGTAATCTGGCCCTTGGTGACACTTGGTAAAAAAGGGCATATGTTTTCAAGTATACTTTTTGGAGAACAGTTTGATTTATAAAATATACATCAAATATTAACAAGAACCTGTTGTTTGTGATAATCTTCCTGTCTTCTTTAATCTTATACTTTTTTCTTGCTACATGTACAAGCCTTTCCAAGTGAATATTGGAGTAAAAGATATTTAATTTCCCTTAAAATATTAAGAGATTTCATCTTCAAAATTATCTCATTTTCTACTCTAAGTTTATGTATATACAATGTATATATATATATATGTGTGTACACCATAATATGATTGTGAACAGCATGTAAATTTCAAAATTTATGATGATAATATTTCTACATAGTATTCAACAATATTACCACTTCGGAAATGTTCTTATCATTTCGTTATGATATTACATGTATATTTGTGAATAAAATGTTAAAATGTGAATATCAGTATTATCAACAAATGTTTCATGTCTAATTAACACTGATTAAATTACTTCAAGCACGTAGTGATTACAGGTATAGATGATTTCAAACAGTCTTGCTGTTGTGTTGACCTTTTCGTGACATGGTTGTGCTTCTGCCTTGTAATCAAGAGGTAAAGGGGTTCAAATCCCTTTCAGTGCCTGAAGATTTTTCAGGTTAACAATGATCATTGTGGCAGTGATCTTTTTTTTCAATTTTCAAAACAACCTGTGGCTTTCTAAAGGGGAAAATATAACGTGATAAATCAGAAAAATAAAATTCCAACCAATGAGAGTGAAATTTACCCATACATAAAAAAAAGTTTCAAGCTTAATTTAATTTAACATGCATGGTATTAGCAGACGCTATCTATAGGTAAAGCTTTTTTTTCTTCTAGCTGATATAAGTCAGCTGATGTTAAGTCATCGTTCTGGTGAAGAATGTACACAGGGATTTTAGGGGAAAATATAACTTTTATGCATTTTTAGGGGAAAATATACCTATTTTGGGCTAGGGGAAACAGCCTTTATTCGGCTGTAAAATACAGGGGAAAACACTGGGTGGTGAGGGTTAACAAAAAAAGACAATAATGTTCGTTTGTCATTTGTGGGTATGAAAACTCAACTAGCAATCAATAAGAGTTTAGTCAGAAATAATAGGACAGTGCTTATAGCGTGTCTCCTTATGTCTCAATTAAACAAGACCTGCAGTATTTGCAGGGGCTAAACTTAACAGTTAAACAGCTGATATTGGGCGTTAAATCACTTTTTTAATCTTTCATAGAATCCCTTTATTCCTTAAATTACTTAATGTATAAACATGTAAGATAAAAATAAAATTAAAATTATTCTGAAATATTTAAGAATGGGCCCCATTTGGTAGAGACGTGACAGCCGTGACAAGCCCCACAAATTGTAGGCTTAAAAACCGGTTTCCCTGTAAAGGCATACATCTGTGTTATATCAATTTGTAAAATCGGTCGGTTTTGCAGTCCAAAAATTTAGACTAGGCCAGGATAGAAATGTCTGGGGGACGAAATGGCTCGATATCTCTCAGTTTCTTCGAAATTATTAACGAAAGTTTTAGTCCTTAGGAACGAATTGACATCAATAAAAAAAAACTTATTATTATTATTCATCAAATTCATGACAAATATTTGTTTAAAAGGCTAAACAGGCTGATATGCTTGTCAAGCAGGTCATAAAATAAACCGGACTTTGTTGGATTCATCTAATTATAGGCTATTTCAGAAAAATAGATTATTTACATCTTTGACTATTTCTTTTTTAATAGCTATTCACTTTGCCATTATAAACTACAAAATTCATTCGATAAAAATTGTCTTTTTCACAAGTTTCTGAAATATCATAAACAATGTGATGATAAGTTACGGATGAGTTAGTTCAAAATTGCGAGTCGTCAGTCGCTTATCTCAATTCATAGAATTACTCGAACATTCAAATTATATCCGCTACATTTCTAAAACCGTACTTCAAGCTATATTGCACATGATTTTCAAAAAAAAATTCTTATATCCTCTTCTGTTTGCAATAAATCAAAGTTTTCAGAAATACAGAGCACTACTTTTCACTCGCGTCGGTCATGGTCGGATAATCACTTTGAATTCAACTTCCTTGAAAAAATGTAGGAATACAATATACCATATATAGTGGTGATGAAACGTCACTGCAGTGGCCGTTACCCTGATGGTTGGAAATTTCGGGTTTGTAAGTACACCAGTTAGGACCACGTCCCAACTTAAAACCGTTATCTGTTTAAAATTGAGTAAGTAAATACACATATACATAAATATACGAGTAGAATTAGGATTTCTTCAATCGTTTAAATAGAAATACAACAAATACTTATTTTACTTCTTCTACAAGAAATTCGCGCCTGAAATCCTCACAACTTTAGAATTATGGAACAATAGTCAATACACATGCAAATGAATCAATTTAGGTTAAAAACTAGATTGTTCCGAGATTGAATTAAGGTTTTACATTTAAAAACACCAAACCTTTTCTGGTGATAAGATTTTCAGATGTAGCAATATGATACAATTTTTTATATGATTTCAGTTCAGCGATGAATTTCAAGATAGCAATCGTTCTTTTACAATTGTTAACAACAAGTTATGGTAAGTAGATAAGAAGTTTTTTATTTGTTTAATAAAATCAAACCTAATATTATTGCATAGATGCAAATAATCCTGAAGCTTTGACAGTTAACTGTCAATTATTGATACTTAGAAAACATTGGATGTTTGTTTGCCAATATATCAATAATAATGATGATGATGATGATGATGATGATGATGATGATAATAATAATAATAATAATAAGTAGAAGAAGAAGAAAGAACATTGTAATAGCAATGCAGATGATGATGATAATAGTTATAATTTGATACCTATAAGATTAGCAATTAAATAGTTATGTCAAATATCTACAGAAAAATACAATATTATATGCTTTAGCCCTCGTCTTTCTATTCTCGTTCTTCTTTCCTTAATGTTTGTGCTTTGAAATCAAAGATCAATGTCCGGAATTAAAAAAAGTATTTAACTGAAATTAAGTAAAACAAAAAACCTACAATCATTGGAAAACGTGTTTCAGACGGAATAGCTCTTGCTTATAGATGTGAGCTGTCGAATGATTTTAATGTAATAGAAGCAAAATAAAATCTTGTTTTTCACTTCTCTATTTAGAAAATAAATTTCAAAATCTTACTCGGGTATGTCATGTGGTGTTTGAGATCTGCTTACGCGGTCGAAGACCTGTTTTTAAATATTCGGTGAGAAAAAAAGTTTTTTTCTCAGATAAAAATTCATATCATTCTTTATTCGGTAATTTTAGATCTAGTACCAAAGAATCAAATGGTAACATAGAGATAGACACTGACTGTTAAACATGAAACAATCGCCATGAAATATGTTATTGATATATCGGGGAAATCAAATATTTTGAGCATGCAAGAAATTTGTCGGAGCATCGTAGTGTTACGATCTCAACTTTATTTTTTTAAATTAAAGAACAACATTTATTTACAATAATACAAAAACAATATGAAAGTAGAGTTTAATTCACAATTTTCCACGATTCAAATTCAACAAATGTCCTAAAGTTTAACTCACAGTTCGAAATTCAATGGTCCACAACTCAGATTTAATCTATGTCCAATGTACACAACAGAATATCAAATTATGTCCAAATACTTCCCACACAGAATAACATAATCCTATTACTATGTAAGCCGTACAATAGCACACAATATGTATATCAACATCATACAATATCACAAATTAGCACACACACATTGAAGTACACACATTCATTATATAAAAACTACCAATGAACAATCTAAAATACTTAACTTCTTAGAGAAAGAATATTCCAGAATGAATATAAAAAGAACTTTCATGAAAGAATATGAATGAACATGAAAACATAAATTATTAAAAATGATAGTGGCATAAGTAGGTATCGAACCTACGAAATGATCGGCTCTACAGCTATTCAGGAAATAAATACTTAACACATTTAAATAAGGCCTATATACATAACACCTCCTCTCCTAAAGAAAATGATTTATGAAATAAATATTTTAAAATCAACATAAGGCAAATAACATAGTAAATTGTACACGGGATCGGGAATAATGTTATCTTTTCTTCTAACATGTCTTATGGCAAGATCATACTCTTCTAACATCAAACTCAATCTTTACAATCTCTGATTCTAATTTTAAGTTCATGCAATAAACTTGAGGGGATTGTTGTCACTGAAAACAACAATGGGTTTCTTTGAAAAAGATACGTAAACTTCAAAAGTTTAATCGCAAATATAAGAGCTAAACACTCTTTTATTGTAGAGTAATTTTTCTGTTTCTTTACTTCATTGAAAAGAAACAAACGGATGGTCAACACCATTGTTGTCTTCATGAATTAACACATCACCATCACCAATATCACTTACATCTACAGATAATTTTAAACATTTGTCAAAGTCTGGAGCTGAGAGAATTGGTAAGTTCTTCAGTATGGCTTTTAATCATTCAAATGCCGTCTCATGCTTATTGTTCCAAACAAATTTGACACTTTTCTTAAGCAAAGTTGTCAGTGGTTCAGCAATAACAGAAAAGTTTGTGCAAAGACTTTCGGTAATTACCAGCCATACCAATAAATCTCATCAATTGTCACTTACATGTAAGTACAGGAAAATCATTTATAGCTTGTACTTTAGCATCAACTGGTTTCACATGACCCTGTCCCACCTTATGTCCTAAAAATGTCAATGTAGCTTTTTCACTTTTCGCGAGATTGATTGTCAGTTTGACGTTGCTCAATCGCTTTGATCTGAAGATGTTCTTCCAATGTTCTGTCTGAATGTATGATGACATCGTCAATGTACACGTCACATCCATCGAGATCAGCGATAACCGAATTGATTAGCCGTTGAAATGTAGCTGGTGAACTCTTTATGCCGAAAGGCATAACTTTATACTGGTAAAGTCAATTAGGAGTCACAAATTATGATATTTCTTTCGCATTCTCAGTCGATGGAACTTGCCAAAAGCCTTTAAGTAAATCAAATTTCGTCACATATTTTGCTTTTCCATCTTTATCTATGCAATCACCCACTCTTGGTGTTGGATAAGTATCAGTTTTTATACATTGCATTTTCCTTGTCCGGAGCATAACTTGAAGACTAATAGACGCAGGGCAAGCATAACCCCCTTACCCCCTGGGTATTTTTGTACACCTATATAGTAACTTATATAGAAACTTAGGGTATGTGCTATCTATTGGCACTTGTTGTTTAGCTGAAACGTTTACCATGAATGCAATAGAACAAGTTGATAATCTGTCCTTGAATCATATTTTTATATATAAGTTTTATAAGATTTCTTCAGATATCTTCTCTATGACGGAGTAAGTTTGTGATCTAAACATTGTTTTGAGTTGTATTATATGTTTTATGATTTATACAAAAAGTTTTTAAGTTTTAACATAAAAATAACATAATTAAAAGTGTCCGCCATTTTAAAATGGCCGCCAATTATTGAACAGATAAACAATTCACAACAATATTTAATGCGTTTATACCCATTCATAAATAGTTTGATGTAATAAGGAAAAAATATGACGTGCTTAGTGAAACTAACTCTATGCTAGGTGGACTTGTAAATAGTCTGCTCTTGAATATTATTTCAATTTTATAGAGATATATGAAACATAATTGTTTGGGGTCGATTTGAGTTGCCTTTAGATATTTTTAATTGAATTTCATGCAAATAATGACTTTTTGTCCTCTCTAGAAACTTATTATCCTCTCACTTATATGAGAAACAATTTGAAAAGTTGGTAGTTGACTTCTCCGTTCCGTTCCTGCTTCTTTATATCCATATAACTATATTGAATAGTATAGCTTACACGTACCACAATGACTATTTGACAGAAAGGCTGCTCGTTGAGTTCCACCAAAGGAAACTGTTCTTACCCTTATTTTATTTAAAATGACTTAAGCCTTAAGTTGGTAGTTTTTCATTATTATTAGAAAAATAATTGAAATTAATGTATTACATTTCATTATCATTGTTACTCCCCTTTAAAAAACATTATAAAGTTACTTCCCGTATTGCGCCATTAGAAAAAGGCAGACAACATAATAGTATGCTTCTCCTTTAAAATCAATTGTTTTAGAGTGATTTTGTTGATGAAATCGTTTTTAAAATGCAACACGGCATATGACAGCATAAGACACTTTTGTACATTGTCAGTCATACTCTCAGATTTTGGAGTTGGAGACTATGTAACAATACTCTTTATCGGGACATTGTTCTCCCTGACTCAATTTCTGCAAAAAGCAATTTAATAAACATTTGTGCTAAGACCATTTCAATCTAAATAACAACCCATACTGCGCACGGAATTGTCAACAGTCGTAAGATGATGATTAAGATGATGATGATGATGACACTTAGAGAGAACAAACATCCACTAATATATCAAATGTACAGGTGATTAAGGCTCCAACTGTTAATCCTGAAGAATTGGCTGAATGCTTAATTACTGGGAAATAAGTTCCGTTTATCAATACATATAAGTTTCGACAAAAGAAATTTTTCGGGTTTTGCTTTTTCATCTTTCTTTCTCTCGTTTATGTGTACATGACAAGCAGATTGTTCCAAGTTGGGCTGGCTGAATCTCTCTTACCTCTGAGTTGCAAGATCAAACATCGTCTACAGAAAAGAACATGCATCCTGTTAATGCCAAAGTATAAAAAAGCCACTGTTCAGACAATTCTAGAAATGTCAAGTGTTTCAAGAGCTGTAAACCAACAGTACACATTTGTGATCTTTGATTTGGCTGCTGCTAAATGGCATATTCTAAAGTTTGGAAAATCCAAATAAGTACAGTGCTACTATCATACATTTAGGGGCTTTCCGTCTGCTAGGTTCATACCTAGGGGCGATTGGCAAACGGCTTCTTGGAAGTGGTTTCTCAGAAATCCTGAGAGTTGAGTGAATGTGTTAATGTGTTAACAGTTTCGAAACTTTCGAAAGACTGCTTTTTGCACAGTTTGTAGCAGCAGTAAACTAAATCCACAACCCTACTGCACTGGGAGATATCAACCAAGTGGTAAATATGCTAGCTGAGAATCAAAGACGTGAACACCTTGAAGATGTGTTAGCTAATGATTTTGTCATTGAACTTCACAAAAGGCATTAAGAGTTCAAGGAAGACTTCAAAAAAGGTCACATAGGGAAGACGGCACAGTTTGAATGAATTCATTGTTAAGATTTGGCTGGTTCTTCGTTTTATGAGAGCCATGAAGGAGGAGGATCTTGACCTAAACATATCAACATTATAAAATATACTACAATTATTCTTTGCATATGATCATCATAACTATGCACAATATCTATCTGTATATGTTCTTATGTTGATACATTGATTTGATACACCTAGGATCAAGAAAGCTTCTTCAAAATAACGGATTCAGTGTAAGCAGATCAAACGTGCATGGCTCCCGTAATGCTGTTAATATAACTATTGAGCAAATAATGAACAGACATGCAAAGTCTCGTAGAGACAGAATAGGATTCAGCAGAAACTTTGCTGCCTAATACAGATG